AATAATAAAAGAAGACGTTACTTTGTTGTTGTGAAGCTTATTTTTTCTAGATTGGCAACAAATCCAATATTCTGCTAAGTTTCAAGTGTAAACAAACATGACTGCTATCATCAAAAATTAGGCTTAGACGCACTAAAAAAAGCTTTTAAAATGTTGATAATTCCATTATTATTGCATGCATGTTAACTAAAGGCGTAAAAATCTTAACCGGAAGATAAGAACAACATTATTCAATAACTTTTAAAGTATAAAACGCACAATTTACAAACATAGAAGAATAAAGAAACTGAGCTCACTGAGCCAAGTAACAGAGTGGATATCTATATATGTTACCGAGTAAGACCGAAATTGGAAAATGTCGACATTACTGGAGAATGTCAACATTCACCAAATATGTCGGTGAAAGAATGAATATTGCATTACATTCTTGTACTTTCGGACCCTCACCGGTGTATGTCGACAATGACAGATATGCTCTGGTAGGTCGAAAGACGTACTCAAATTGGTAATACTATACGAATACAAGTCCCTGATGTCAACCGTGGTCATACAGATAACCGAAATGTGTTAGCGGTAGTTGTTGGAATAGAACACTCCGACATCTATAAACCTGCAAACGAAAATGGTACCCTCAAGCGGCTTATACACATAATCAGTTCGTAATTTGTAAAGAAAAGATACTTTCCATAGATGAGATTTATTTTCAAGAAATGTCGCCGAGAGAAGCAGCTGCAGCTAATTCGAGAACCAGTGGGCTACGCTCTCATTGCATAAGGAAGTGTTCCACAAATAAACCAGTTGTAAAAGCAAGGGCCTCTTGTGCAATTCAAAGTGTCATAATAGGTTCTTTCAATAAATAAGATTTGAATCACATAATTTAGTAAATTTTTTATTACTATTATTTTATTTCCTCATTTATAACGTACTGTATAATTAAGTTTTTAACTTCTATTTTTTCCTTTCTCATTTTGAACGTACTGTTTGTTTTAAGTTCTTATTTTAAGTCTCAAGTGCTTTTTTTCGTGACTGAATTACAGAGAAGAAAATATAATATTCTTATTGTTCAACATTCACCATTAGTACATGGTGAATGTCGACATTTACTGCTGTAAGTTAGAAATAAGAGTATTTGGAAAATATTTCGGACGTACACCAAGCGACTATGCGAATGTTGACACTCATCGGTGAAAGTCGACATTCTCAAGATTTTGGTGTTTCACCGTAACATACATACATATATTTATATACTTTTAGTGCGGCTGATTGCGACCAAAATACGAGGTGCACATCTACATGTTATAGCAATCCTATATAAGAAATTTCAACGTTCTGAAGCTACTTGTTTTTTAGTTATGCCAGATACATACATAGATACGTACAGACACCACGAAAAAGTCTTTTCTGAATCCATTTTAAATCAGTTTTATAATTTCTTTTGGGAAAAAGAGTCTTTTAATCTGTCCTTAAGTACAGATGTCATGCAAAAACATCATCAAATTACATTCGATAACAATCAAAACAGATATTTTCATTGAAATATGATACCTGAAATTTTTCACGATTACAATACAATACTCCCTTTTTACTTCATACAAGGAAGTAATAAAAAGGCAGAGAACAGGCATTTTGCATTAATAGCTTTTTGGTTCTTTGTTTCCATAGAAGAAATTATTTATTCCCCCCCCAAATATGTACAACTGATGTTGTCTTTGTTTTTATGCACACATACGTTTAAGAACATCGACCCTTCCACCGTGTGATGTCAAAATATCGCAGTGACAAACGATGAGCATTGTAAATGTATTAAGACTTCCTTGATGCAATAATAGAATGAAAGTCAGCTGTGTATGATTTTTAAAAGGTACATGAATATTTTACCTTTTTTTTTTTTTTTCCAGAATTATAGTTTCTTAAAATATTTCTTGAAGCATTCTGTTAACGGCATTTTTAGAAATTGAGAAATGAGAGCAATGCTTTGCAGAATGTAATGAATATGAGCTTAATTTGTAGGTCTGCATATTCGAGTATGATTTATGATAATTAATTTTCTTAGGTAATTTAATTATTTTAAGTTGAAATATTAATAACAGCAGAAATGATTTAAAGTTGCTTTGAGCATTATTAATATTGTATTATAAAACTTTATTATTATTGTATTGGAAAATAAAGAAAATTGCTTTTATAGGGTTATGTAATTTTAACAAAGTATGTTAGGCTGTGTGCCAAAGGAAGTATGCCTTTATGAAAAATTTTAAATGTATTTCCATGCCCCAAAATTTGGACCTGGCAATGAAGCACAAGAAAAAGGAAAACGTGAGGGTACTTTTCCGTTTCAGCGGCGCAAATCTCGCCAAAAGAATTTGTTGGCGCCAGCATATAGTATACAGTACAAAGTCTTTAATCCGGACTCGTTGAGACTTTGACGATTCCGGATTAGGTGTTTTTCCGTATTATAGATCATGAATTTAAATCTGGTAAGATTGCATGCAGAAATTATAAAATTAAAAATATGAAACCGTAATTTATGAAATAAAGAGCAATTCTGATCTAAAGGGTATCAAAATTTACAAAAAAAAAAAGCTTAATATTTATTTGTTTACTTTATTAAACATTTCTTTCAATGTAAGTTGTTTAAGTTGCTTTGTTTTACGTGCTAATACTTTCTCTTTAATTCTATATAGACAGACATAATTTCGTGTTCAGTTACAAAGTTCCGCTGTTCAAGTCCTGTAATTGCTGTGCCGAGAATACCGACTAACTTGTCAATCGAAATTTTTTCGTTTTCACTAACCTCTCTGTCACTTTCTTCGTGCCTTTATCCATTTTTTGCAGCAATTCCACTTTTTGTTTGATGGACATCAAAACATGCTTTCGCTTTGTAGATCCTTTGGTAGCTCCAGAATCGGAAACACTTTTTGACATAATCGAAAGTTCAAGCTTACTTTTTATAAAATTGCTCTAACAGTCTGCAAAAAATAATAAGCCAGATCCAATTAGAAGATTAAGGAACAACGCAATCTGTAACAGTAACTGAAATAGATAATTAGATAATTTTAGCCTAGCTTATACCATCCGTTATACATAAAACGCGCATGCATAAACGTATTATGAGCATGCGTAAATGCATATGCGCATGCGTAAATGCATTATGCGTTTACGCATGTGCAGAAGGTTTGTAGCTTTGAAGTCCGGATTATGGACATCCGAATTAAAGACTTTTTAGTGTACACATAAAAAATGTTAACAAATGTTAGTTCTAAGAATTTTTTATTTTGAAGGCATAAACATTTTAATATGATTTAAAATTTTGTAAGAAGCCTGTAAATAAAGACAATAAATTTGTAAAAAGACATTAATTTAAAATTTACTATGCTTTCATGGTTTAACATCCTGATTCGCCGGTTCGTATCACGTGACCCCAAGTGATCTTATCTCCCGTAAACTACGCTACAAAGAACTAATTCGCTCAGCAATTATCTACATTAATTTCAAGTTAAATCTTAATTCAAAATAAATGCAAGAATATAATGCAAAGTTAAAATAAGTTTAAATGCAAGAATTATTTCAATTCATACAAATAGTTTACTCAGAAATTATGTAAAACCGCATTGCTTTACTTCGCTAGTGCATTCTCATTAAAAATGATGAATTTAACCCTTGATTTTGCCTTTCCTATATTTTTGCCTTCGGATGAGCTGTGTGATTGCATCCTAATTGACTTGATTTTCGCGAATGGTCTTAGGGCATAAAATTTAACTATCTGGTAAAAATTCTATGTAATTGTATGCCAGTATTGAGAAAAACAATCAATCTGATAAGAAATGGCTACGACTTGTTTTGAAAATGACGCGTAAAAGGTTACCAGCGAAGATATTCCGTTTGGCATCAGCTGTACCATTATTGGCGGCTTTATCGTTTGCACCGGCAAAACGGAAAAGTACCAATATGAGAATACAAAAAGGAGGTTTGATTACCACAGGTATGATTTACATTTCAATGCTGTCTGACAAAAACAAAGTAACAAACACAAATAAGGTAGTTCTTTTAACAGTCATCAGTGATATGATAAATAATATTTATAGCCTTATGTATCTCTTAATTCACAAGATTCTGCATAGTTACAAATATATTTTTTAATAAAGCAGCATATTTAAAGTATTTATTTATCAGAGCATGAAGAAGGCTGTTTCACTCATAGTAACAAATAATATATGAAGAATTTTTTGACTAAACAAAGCAAAAAAATTAGGACGAGCACTTAATGATTTTGATTTTATTCTTGAATAAAAAAAAAATATACTCAATTTTAGGGTTATAAAAATTCTTTTTTGTATTAGCACTTTTATTTTAATTCCACAACTGAAACATTTAATAAAAAAGTGAAAAGCATCAATATAAACTATTCTAGAATAACTATTACTGTAATCTTAATATGATATAATGTGTCTTCAGATTTGCTGGATGTGAGCTGTTTGGGGATATGTAATATTGTTGATGCATGTAAGACTAATATAAAAATACAGATCCAAGAATAATAATGAGAATAAAAAATCACCAAAATTTTTTTATACTCTTTTGAGAAGCAACTGGTAACTTCTTTATTATAAGAATGTGTTTTATCATAAAAAAGAATACTTTTTGAAAATAATAATACTTGGAATATTAATGCATTGGTGATAGATTATACACCCATAATTTTTGGAATGAAGGCTTTGAAACAGAAAAGGAATATAAAAAGGACATATTAAGAAGGGTTAAATTTTAGAGATCTGAAAAGTTATGCTTGTAATACAAGTAATCAAACATATTTATGTTAATAACCATTACTAAATAATAATAAATTACAACTTTTTTGCAGAAAAAACATTTTATATTGTTGTGTTATTAACAATTTATCCATGAACAATTATTTGATGGTAACCCCATACTACTTTTTACATAATAATTAAAAGCATACAAAAATATCTTTATACTCAGAAATTAAATTTCATTATAATTACTTTTTCATGGAAAGGCAAAAATTTCAACATCCTTTTAAGGAAAATCTGCATGTTGATTGAAGTATCAATTTGTGACCAGTTTTCAGCAAAGGATATGCAGTAGGTACATAAATATTCAGTAGAACTGCATCTATTTGGGAAGGAAAAATCAAGTTTATCAACCAGCAAGTTCTAGGAAAAATAAAAATGACAAAGCCAGAGATCATTAATTTTATTCTTCTGGGAAAAAAAAAAAAAAAACTTTTACATTTTTAGTCCAGAAAATTTCTTATAATAATTTGTGCTGCTACATTTATATAAAAAATTAAATTATAAAATTCAAAAGCATTTATGTTTTAATTATAGAATCTTATATATATGTTAAGTGTTTGTCGCCGATAGTTTATTGGTTGCTTGTGTAACTGTAAATTGTTTTATTCCCCGTGCAGTGTAGCATGTGACGAATAAGCCGGAAAAATTAAAAATACAAGAGAACATGCTTTTAACATTTAATAAATAAATTTAACATCCATATATAATAGAATTTGGAAATATGCAACCGGCAATGCTGAAATAAAATGAAATTAATAAATATCTTTATATATGCGGCTTAAAAGTGTTTGTCACTAGTTTTAACTTGCTCATGTACTACAGTACCGCACAGGGTTGTTGCTTTCAATTGACAGAAGAATTTCCTGCAAACTTGCCTTGCTATGACCATCAATAAGTCTCAGGGCCAAATGCTTACGTGTTGGCATTTTTTACCTGAGCCTGCATTTGGCACAGTCAACTTTATTTCCTGTTCAAGAGTTCGGAAATTGTAAAATTGATGGTCCTCTGCCACTGAACTTACAAAATGAGGAAAGATTTACACGAGAAATGTGTGTACAAATAGATCTTTGATCAGTGAATTAACATTTTATTATTTAAATCACCTTTATTTATTGAGCTCGTGACTCTTAATGTTTTATCGCCGATAGCCTATAATCGTCTTTCTATCGCTCTTCCTACCAGTTTTTTGCATTGGTACCGATACATAAAATTGCTTTTTGGGGCTGCCTAAAATAGCCTAACGTCATATCCATGGATAACCGTTGACTACTCTGTCTTGGGTAATAAGCGCTGATGCCGGTCAAACATGCGTATGCGGGAACAAGATTGGTAGCGTTGAAAATGTGCCATTGATTTCTTCTTGCACCTGCTTTAAGCAATTAAGCAAGTAGAAGGGGGAAACACCATGTGGCAGTAAGCAAAGGGGCATCCTTGCCGCCTGCCCTGGGTAATTCAGTTTGAAATAGCAGATACCTTTGCACAAACAGAGGTGTTTGTGGGACCCCAAAAAATCCCCTGAAACTTTTACGGACTTACTACCGACATTTTGGAGTTTCGAGAAGGGGGGGGGAGAGAAATGAAAAATTACAATTATGAAGTATTGAATGACCTAATTATAAAAGTTCAATGAATTACTTTTTTTGCAAAATTAATAACCATAAATTTTCAAACATATAAACTACTACATTTTATGTAAATATTTTAAATTACCTGAATTAATTCTTTAAAAAAAATTATCTAATTTCTGCTGCTTTTTTTTTTTATTTTCTGATGTTTGTGGGCTTGTCTTTCTTTTGTGGTGAACTTCATAATTGCAGGAAGGTTGACTTTTATTTTCCTCATTTACAGTTGAAGAAATTTCCTCGAGAACTGCACATGCAGAGGTAGAAGCAGTTTGCTTTTCTGCTAATGTAGAAGGTTTTTCAGAGACTTTTATAGGTGACTCATCTGAAATACATGTTTTTAAGTCCTCTTGATATGTTTTCCAACTTCTGTTCATATTCAGTAAGAGATCTTTGTGAATTGGATCAGTCATTGGATTTTTTTTAGCCATATTTTTTCACATAAGGTTTCTTTAGAAGCCATTAAATCATATTTAATAGTCTGCACTGCATCTAGGGAATCAATCTTAAGAGAGGTTCTATAGTCAGTGACAAGTGTATCCATTAAGTTGAATGCACTTTCCACTAATGGGCCATGGAAGCAAATAAGGCAGGCTTTGACCAATTTAGCCAATGTAGGATACTTATAATCATTTGTGAAATCATTTTTTAAATTAAAAACTTTAGACCAATATTTATCAATTGTACACTTGACTTGATTTCCACTTTCATCAGATGTGTACAGCATTTCTTGGTGATATCAATATCACTCTGGTATAACCTTATTTCAGCTTCTACTTTTGACTTTTTATTATCACTAAAAATATGGGACATAAAAGATGATAATTTTTCAAAAGCTAATATTGTACTGGTTTTACCTCTTAGCTCTGGATCTAATGCTGTAAAACTAATTAGATATGAATTTTTAAGGGGTAATTTCTGTTTCATATGCTGTGCTGTATTAGTATAAGCTTTCATCAGAGAAATTTGGAATTCTTTTGCTATTGGATGATTTTTTGATAATTTCTTCAGGAGAGTGGAAGCTTCTGCACCAGTAAATATTACTTTGCTAGGTAGATGGAATTCTGGATTTGTGACATCAACCTTTAATAAATCATTATAAGATGTGCACTCTATATTTTCTGACTTCATAAAAAAAGAGAAAAATTTTGCCATCAATTTATAAATACTGGAATGTATTAAATGAAGCATTGTTTTTTTTTGTTTCAAATAATTTAATATATGTGTTGAACTCTGGTAATACTGCTGAAATATAATGCCATATGCAATAAAGTTTTGTTTTGCATAACAAATAACCCATTTAGTATTCTTGTTTTCCAAGCTAAAGCATCCTTTGTGAGTTGTTGGGAATGCAAGCAAGAATACACCCCTTCAACAATTTTTTTCTGAGCTGCAGAAATATTTCTTTTATTGTATACAGTTTCAACATAAGAAAAATAATCCCCTTTATCAGTTTTATCCAAGTAGTGAAAATAAAATGCAATAAGAGCATCCCACAGATCTTTGATTCTTTCTAAAACACATAAAATGTACACCCACCTATGGTCTGGTCTCTTCAAGGGCTTAAGTTTTTTAATGGCAAGGGATTCACAGATTTTGAAAAAATTTTCTCTTTTACTGCAGCTTTTCATATCAAAATAGATGTCATCAAACAAATCTTCTAAGTATCTATCAAAACATGAAGCAAATTTTTTTTTGCACATTTATTAGCTGTGTGACATGTGTCACCATCAATATCTAATAAGTGGGGTGCTTTGTTTGATCGTAGTCTGGTTTCAACACCCTTTTTTTTTTTCCACGCATGGTGTTACATGAGTCCATTAATACACTAATTAAGTTTGCCCATGGAATATTATTATCTTCAATAGTATTAACAACTGCTTTAAAAACAGCTTCTGAATTGCAAGATTCCATCTTTAGAGATGCAAAATGATGAACTACAACTTCATTTTGATTGTTGTCATAAAACTGCACCAATATTGCCAGTATACTTTCTTGAGCATTGCTAGTACTTTCATCCAAATTTAGAGAAAATGGAGTCTCCTTTAAAGTTTTAATGATATTTTCCTTAATAGTTTTTGCGAGCCCATATTTCATCTTATAACATGCAGTAGTCCTGGACATTTCCAACAAAGTTTAAGGCCGTCTGATCGCGGCTCAACTGTTTGCAGAGTTCAATTAAATTGGGAGCTACATTGAAAGAAAGAGAATTCTCGGCGATAAACGAAGTTATTAATACCTCTTGGCGTGCTTTTCTTGTCACTATATCCAATGGCCGAGCATCAGTATTTTTTGAATTAGCATAATTACTTAAAGTCATTGAATGTCTAATGCACTTTGAATATTTTATGTGTGTCACAGTTTCAGAATGATTTGTGAAAGCCTTGAATCCTTCCCTACCATACTTCAGCAGTGAGTTACAAAAAACACAATATGCTTGTCCAGCAACATTTATTTTCTTGCACCATGTGCCGATGGTATCCCCATTACCATCTCTCCGTTCAATCCAATTCCACCTAAATGCATTCCGGACACCTTCTTCTAATTGTATAATATCACTATTTATATCGAATGAGTGATATAGTGAAATTCTCTTGTGTACATAAATAAAAAAATATTTCAATAAACGAAACGAAAAATTTACACGTGCATCAATAAATGAAACGAAAATTTTACACATCGGAGAAACAAAAGTTGAGAAGCGATCAATGACAAATAGCTAATATGGCAAAAATTCCCCCTTCTCTACTTATTAGAGCTGGAGCAAACCGCATGTATTCGTTACCGAGTAACGGGTACATCAGTTGACTCGAAGTACCGATTCGGTACTCACAAATTCATTTCGTTATTCGCATCTGTTCGTTACTCGCATCTGTCGTACGATGCGGTTTATTCGAGTATACGGTTGCTATTTGAATACGTATGATGCCGTTGCTACGCGAATACGAATGATGCGGTTTCTATGCGAATACGAATGATGCGGTTGCTGTTCGAATACGAATGATATATTTGCTAGCGATACGCGTGTGCCACATTTTTCATTGATGATTTTGAATTTTTTTGGTTAACTCATTGGGCCAACTCTTGTTTACATTATGTGTTTTAGTTGAAATATTGTTTAGTTGTTGATATTTAAGAAATGATCAATTTTGATAGTGTGAAGCGTTATTTTGTATTTGTTTTTTACATTTATAGTGCATATTATTTTTGTAATTTGAAAATTTAGATGATTTTGATTTTTTTCTTGAGTGTGCCATAGTGAGATTTTATTGATTTGAATATTTATATACTGCACTTAGGTATTGTTTTATATAAGAATATGTAGGTTAATATAAGTTCTTTACTTCCTTGTACGAAATAAAAAGGAAGTAAGTATTGTAATAGAGAAAAATTTTTGGGTATCATATTTCAACGGAAATATCCATTTTTTGACGAATTACAGGAATCCATGTGAATTATTTTTTGGGGTGACGTCTGTACGTACAAACACAATTTTTTTCTTTTTTTTTCTTTTTTCCAAAAACGGATTGTTAAATGTAATCCCATTTACTCTAAGCTGATACTTATGACTAATGATTATGACTCTAAGGTTGATACTTGAAAAGGGATTTTCTCATGATGTATAGTATAAGTATGTATGTATGCATTTCGCATAACTCAAAAACGATTAGTTCTGCAGAACGTTGAAATTTTGTATATAGGACCGTTATAACATGTAGATGTGCACCTTCCCTTTTTATTGCAATCGGTAATACTACAAAACGTAAATATGTATATTTTAAATAAATTATAATTAAATGTAAAGTACACACACATATATATAAATATAAAATAAAAGCCAAGTAAGGCGAAAATAAAAGCCTTGGTTTTTATTTTATTTATTTATCACTAAGTAAGTTATTTGGCTTTTATTTTTGCAATCATTGGTTGTAGTCAGGACTTAATTTTTAAAATTAGAAGTGCTGGAGCTCTATGGAAGGCCATCAGAAAGATGAATAAAAAAATAAATAAATAAAAATAAAAAATTAATAAAAATAAAAAATAAATAAAATAACTAATGCAATAATAAAATAATTAACAACTAGAATATTAAATGATTATTATTATAATTCAATAAAAATGTAAAGACAAATGAAAATTTTATTAATTCTTAAATTAATAATGAACAACTAAGTAATGAAATAAAATACCAGACATCGTCTGGTTTGGGGGCTGTAGCTGGAATTGCAATTTAAGAACTAAGCCAAGCATTAGCTTAATTTAGGCTCTTGAGGAGCAAATAATGTACTGTTTACCAGAGTATAGATAGAAATTTGGTTATGTAGCCTATTCTTCTAAAACGACATTTCGTCACTGCCTTCCCCCACCAATTCCCTTTTTTTCGGTTTTGGATTATTTAGTTACAGCAATGCAGTAACTGAGACAGTGGCGTAGCTAGGGTGGGGCATCTGTCCCTGGGCGCAGCATTCAGGGGGCGCGAAATTGATGTTACGAAATTGTAGAATGAAATGTTTTCCGTTCTTGGTGCAGAGAAAGGGACGCAAAATCTGCAGTTGCCCCCGGGCGCTGAAAACCCTAGCTACGCTTCTGGGTAAAAATTATGTTAGAAAAACTATTATTACCCAAGAAAAACTATTAATGATGCCATGTCATGGGTACTAGATGAAAATATTCAAAAACCACTTGAAACTGTGGTCCCTTTGTAATGTAGTAATCTTTAGTCTTTATTACTATTTTTTACTCATACTAGTTTGATTTTCATAACATTATTGCCTATTTATTCATTAATAAAGGTTTTGATTTAAAGCACACTTTTTAGTTACTTATTTTTTCTGAAACATGATGATTTTATTATTTAAAGATTTAAGTGCAGAAATAAAAGTTTTAGAAAATGGAATTAAAATAAATAAGTAAATAAATAAATAAATAAAAAAATAAAATTAAAAAAAAAAAAAAAGAGGAAGGAGTAATCTTAGTTTAGCAAAAAATCAAATTCACACGGCATCATCCGTAAATACTTTCCGAATCGTACCATGTTTTCAATATGCAACTTCCGAAGCAGGGTATTACGCTCACTGTGAATTTCTTGTCGTTGACCAATTTCTGGTCCAAATGCATTTTCTCTTCTTTTTCCTTCTGTAGCAGTAGCTAAGTTCAAAATTTTAGCTGTAGCTATAGTAGCAGTTTAAAGTAAAATAGTCATCCATTATTTTGACTATTTGACAACACCGTAAGCTTTGTTTACAAATTGTAGACAGTGTGACGCTGTAGAGGGCGGGAACACTTCCTTTCACAGTGATTGGCTGAGTAAATTCCTGTACTAACGAGAAAAATCGTTCCATGCAGACAGGCTAGCTATTACAAATATTGTTGGCTGAAGAAATCGCTACATGTAGACAGGCCTTAACAGTTTCAATATTCGAGATTTTGCGGAAAAAGAGGAGAACCCTCAACTTCTGTATTGTATAATGCATTGGGGGAAAAAAAGGGGAAATTATTTTGACTATTCGATTACTTTCACTTTATTTATGCCATTCCGAATATTATTCCTTAGAAAACTAATCTGTGTTAAAACACACCTACCCATTTTTGAAGTTTATCAATACTTCAGTTACTGCAAATATATTATTATAAATATCCATACATACGCTCATAATAAACGCGAATATGAACTGATCACACGGAACGAGAATGTAAATTATTGAAATCTTGATAGAAATTCAAATATGTGTAGTATTGGGTGAGAGCAAAAGAATACGGGATGTAACAGAATTTTCTACCGCTTTCGCAATTCTTTGACCAGTAGAATGACGTGCACCTGTCTGTACTCGTGCACACCAAAGGTTATGTTAATGCAGAGAAAGAGGCGAAAAGCATTTCTGGGAGTATTCCATCTGACATTCCATATAAGGAAGAAAAGTTGTTTACTTAGTTTCGGTTTCAGGGAAAAATGTGCGTTCGTTAAAACAATGGAAAAAAAAAACACTAAAAGCAAAAAATAAGCACTAAAAACAACAACAACAAACAAAAAAAAAAAAGTGCTTTAGAGAAAAAGTAAGCACCCATAATGGCTTTTATATTTTATTTTCATATATAAGGACTTACAAGCACTTGTAAAGACCGCTACGAACCCTGTAAAAACTGTTTTAAACTTGTCTCTACTTTTTTGTCTTAATTTAACAATAAAATAGTCATTCCATTCACAAAGTTGTACACATAATTACAGTAGCCATCTAGTTTGATTTTGTGCCAGTATTTGGTGCCAATATTTGAGGATTTTGTGCCAATATTTGAGGAAAGCTGGATCACAGAAATAAATAACTGTACAATTTATTTATTTCTGGTGTAAGGAGTTATGAAAGGTGGATAAAATGGTCTCAATGTCATAAAGAAGAACAATTATCAACCAAAAATTTGATTGACTTTGTTATTTAATTTTACAACAAAATTATTCATTCTGCTTTAAAAGCACATTTTAAGTCAACTATTCTTTTCTGCTCATGAGAATGACATAAGAAAATAATAATAAAAAACAATAAGAAAAATAAAATGAAAAGAACAAAATATCACAAAGTGTTGAGAGTCAATAAGCACCAAGAGATGTGACAAACAATACTGCATACACCGCTAAAGGAAACTGAGAGAACTGGCAACACGTGTGCAGCAACAGCAGACAATAAAATACAAATATGCAATGCCAGTGGTTATATTTTTCACAGCTTCTCAACTCGACTATCAGCAGTTGTATTATATCGCATAATTTCATTTACTTAAAATTTTTTGATGTCAAAAAACAATAACATAGACTATAGTTTGGCCACATAGACTATCGTTTGCTGATCTTTGCTCTACATAAAAAAAAAAAAAAAAAAAAAAAACACCATAATTCATTACAAAATTCTTAAAATAAATAAATTAAATAAAAACTGGTGTTTCTGAGAGTTGCTATCATGCATATATTAAAGTAATAACTTATTTTCATATATATATAAAACAGAGAACAACATTATAATAAAAAGATGGTATACCTCAAACGATACATAACAGTATCTGAAATCAGCAGAGAAACAGTAGGGATGTCTGAAGTTAAGTGCTTTTTTATGATGTCTTTCTAAATGAAAACAAATTCCTCTAGTTAATAGATGATAATACATATTTTATAACATAAAATGTGAAAATGTAATACACTTCCTTCATTTCATAATAATATATAATTTTTCAATGCTGTTTTAAAATAATAGGTGTCTTGTTCCTTAGGAGGAGAAGGACAGTGCTGCATATTGCTTTGTTATAGTATAGTAGTGCAGCTGAGCTATGCTACGTTTTAAGAATTATCATATTATCACCACAACACACACCAAGAATGCAATTTTTGGGTGGGGGGTTGAGGATTTTTTTTTTTTTTATACATTTTCCAATTTTATGCCAATGTTTTCCTTCTGCTGGGCTTCTAATAACAAAAAAGTGACTGTTATTATTAATTTTAGAACGGAAATTTCTTTTTTTATTGTTTGGCCTTTCTACCATGAATTGCACTTTTTATGCACTGAAATTTCATGCATGTGGCATTTAATATTTCCCAAGCTTTCCAGATAATCGAGCTTTTATTGTAAGTCAAAACTTATAGAACATTATATAGACATAATTTACATAATTTTTTCATAATTTGAAAACATTCTATTATTTGAAATACTCTATAATTCTATCAAAAGTAAATTCACATATTTTTAATTAAAACTTTCCTGAAGTACTATAATAATAATTTTTATCAGAATTTCTCTGAAAACATATAATGCTACAGTCAAACACATTGAATAGGTACTGAGAGATTATATAATAATTACTTACCAAATTCAAGAACTGAGAATCAGAAATACATTTTAAATAAGTTGAAAGATGAGCATATGCAATCTCATATAGTGTAGATAACCTGAAAAAAAAATTTTTAAAGCATCATTTTCAAGAAATTTAAGAAAAACTTTAAGCAGCAATTATTTCCTAATGCATAAAATATGCTGACATTACAAAATATGAATTATCATAATTACATATAATACAAATAAAATTTAGGGAAAGAGAAGAAAATAAAATAAAAAGAGGACATGAAAAGAGGAGATAAAAGGAAAAACAAATATGCTTTCAATAACCTGCCTGGATGATACACTTTACTGTAACATAAAATAATTCCTAAGATAGATAAACATGAACTGCAAGAAATCTTCCATTATTAAGATTTTATACGATGGAAAAGATTTATTAATCACTTGTTCCCCCCCCAAAAAAAAATATTAAGCAAAGGATATTATAGTGCAAAGTCTAAAGTCCAGAATAATCTACTTCAGACCACTACCAATTTTATTTTTAAAACTTTTGTATGCTTAATGCGTCACTCATGCACATTTCATACATTTTGTAATAAAATGTGTGGAGGGTTTTCATTCTTTATTTTGGCACTTAATAAAACATCTCCATGCAGAAGAAAGAAACAATAATCATTCATTAGTATAAATCTGTATGATGAATAATTTGGCTCTGTAAGTGCCCTTTTGCTTCCCATCATCTCAAACCAAAATATTCTACATCAGAACACTGCTGATTTTACACCAAATAAATAACTTATATCCATGACGCTAACTGAACAATTCATTTTTGCTTTCATCATCACGACTATCAACATATGGCAGCCCAAGAAATGACTCACACAGTCATGTCTAAAACAATTTTTTTAAATATTAGTAATTGCATATCAAATAGCATGGTAACTTTTATGTTGACATTATGCTTGTCAATGATTACGCACTTCAGACAGCTGCACTACAAAGTGTTGAGTTTGTTGACAAGGAGAAATTTAACTGAAAATTTTCTGCCCAAAATGCTCATAGCCTAAAAGATTACATTTAGTGATGCTTGAATTAAAAATAACTGATTTGTTATTCAGATAAGCCAGGACTGATGCGGCTACATCGGGCAGCAAAATTTTCAGAATTTAGAGAAACACCGAGCAAAAAAAAATTAAGTGATGGCAAAACCTTTAAAATTTAGAAAAGGCTATGGAATGCAAAATTTAAAGGTGGCAAAAGTTTTAGAATTTAGGCAGGTGCCTGGCAGCAGAACTTAGGATCTGGAAAGATTACACCGGCCACAAAATGCCTAGTGTCAGCCTTGGATAAGTCTTAAGTATATGCAAGCATTTACTTATTCAGGACTCAGATAAGCCTTAGGCATGTGCAGGAAACAAACATAAGTATAATACAGTCAAATGTCTTTAATCCAGACTCGTCGGGACTTAGGCGATTCCGGATTATCGATTTTTCCGTATTATAGATCATCAGTTTAAATCTGGTAAGATGGCATGCAGAAATTATACAATTAAAAATATGAAACTGTAATTTATGAAATAAAGAGCAATTATGATCTAAAGGGTATCAAATTTTACACAAAAAAAGCTTAATATTTATTTGTTTACTTTATTAAACATTTCTTTAAACGCACACATGTGTAAAGCATTGTATGCGCATTCTTTATGCACATACGTAAAGCATACAAAAAAGTTTGTGGCTTTGAGGTCCGGATTATAGATAATTCTGGATAATGGACGTTCAGATTACGGACTTTGTACTGTACCATTATTTTGCAAAATATAGTTTTATTATTTTTGAAAGCAAGCAATGAAATATGCACTGTTGATGTAATGTAAAATTCCCACCCATGATCCCATGACATGGAGAATTTCCCTCTTTCTGAAGAAAAGCAAACTCTCATGTGACCTCCTAACCCTATGGCATGTATTTAATACTCCTTCTGGACGATCCTAAGAGTTTGGCCGAAATGTTTGCATTTGACATGGTCAAACATATAACTTTTCAAACTTTTCACATTGACATTACACTTGCCAATGATTACAGACTCTACTCAACTGCCCTGCAAAGTACTGAGTGAGTCGACAAGGAAATATGTAACAGAAATGTCTTTCTTCGTGCAAAAAATATACTTTGTAAATGATATTCATAGGCTAAATTACATTTAGTGTTATTTGAATTAATAATAACTGATCTACTATTCAGATATGCTCAGAATGAGACTGCACTTGGCAGAGACATTTTTTTTAGAATTTAGAGAAGCATTGAGCAACAAAATTAAGGGATGGCAAAACCTTTAGAATTTAGAGAAGAAAAAATTTTCAAAATTTAGGGTAGTGCCTGGCAGCAGAATTTAGGACCTGCACAGCTTGCACCAAGTGGCAAAATATCTAATGTCGAGCCTGGATATGCCTTAAGCATATTTTATTTATTTAAGGCCTGTACTGGAATCAGATAAAGCATGAGCATGTGCTTGAATTATACACAAATATAATAAACAACTAATATAATTTTAAAGCTTAACTTAATCAATGCGCAATAGAAGCAAGACAAAATTTAGCAGAACAACATATCTTTAGTTGTGAATCTCCTCACACATCACCATTAGTGTATACAGTCAAAAGTCTTTAATCCGGACTCATCGGGACTTCGGCAATTCCGAATTATAGGTTTTTTCCGGATTATAGATCATCAGTTTAAATCTGGTAAGATGGCATGCAGAAATTATACAATTAAAAATATGAAACTGTAATTTATGAAATAAAGAGCAATTATGATCTAAAGGGTATCAAATTTTACACAAAAAAAGCTTAATATTTATTTGTTTACTTTATTAAACATTTCTTTAAACGCGCGCATGCGTAAAGCATACATTACACATAATCCAAATTAGAAAATTGCAACCAGAAAACTATTTAATGTGTATTCGTGATATTTATAATGACGAGGAATTTGATTTAAATCATATCAAAGACAGAGTACATCAAGATGAAATACTACATTTAGTAAGGAATTCAAGCCAAATAAAATAAAAACATCTGCCCTGAAGATAAGGATAGTGCTGACAGATCAACTTCCAGTTCATTACATGATGCAATGTTTCCACCCCGCAGAGCAGCGTGAAATTGATAAACAGATTTCAGAATGGTTAGAGAAACAAAGGATATACCTTTACCAATTTTTTGCAGCAATTCCATTTTTTGTTTGATTGACATCGAAACATGCTTTTGCTTTGTAGATCCTTTGGCAGCTCCAGAATCGGAAATTCTTTTTGACACAATTGAAAGTTCAAACTTACTTTTATAATATTGCTTTAACAGTCTGCAAAAAGTAATAAGCCAGATCCAATTAGAAGATTAAGGAACAACACAATCTGCAACATTAACTGAAATAGATAATTACATAATTTTAGCTTAGCTTATACCATCCGTTATACATTAAACGCGCATGCGTAAACGTATTATTGCGCATGCGTAAGTTTGTAGCTTTGAGGTACGGATTATAGATCATTCTGGATTATGGACGTCCGAATTAAAGAATTTTGATTGTATAAAGGTTGAAAATTGCGCTTAAAACTAGAAGAATTACATCTTAAGGCAGAGGTTAACTCACCAACTTGCTTTGCCAGTTGCGCTACCTGAATTTCCAAACAAGTTGCAGCAGCTTCACTTGACTCGAGGTCACGATAGCTGTATTCACATAAAAGTGAGATGCAAGCTCAGTAATTTTATCAGAGACTGTAGCCAATATACTCAATTCATATTCCTTAAGCACAATAAAATAGATTATATATTATTAGGAAGCCTTGCAACAAATATCTTAACAAGGTTTCACCTACAGTATCACCTGCTAAAGTGCACATATGAGTCCAGCAACTAAGAAGGGTGCTGGTTGTCAAGCTCAAGACTTTGCAACCGAGTGCAAGTTTTTTGATGCTTCACTTTCAGGACATACTGCAATCAAGCTATGTTTTAGGATATCATATTTCCCAGTAGCAGGAGGTTTTAAAATGATACTGCTAACAGAATTAAGTATATCATAATCCACAGCAGCAACAACAAGGTTAAATTTTGTTAAATACGAAGTAATATTGGAAAAGAGAAACTGTGATTCCAATCTAACTTACCACAATGCAGGGTTTGTTTTCCAAAAAGGCAGTAATTTTACTGAAAAGTATGATACCTGCTATGTTTTAAATTGAAAAATCATCAGCAGACTTTTTTATTACATGATGACTATTTTAGAAAAGATGTATGATTTTTATTGCAAACACTATAAAAATATCAATACTAAAGCGTGGTATAAAAGGATATGAGACCTATCACACATTTATAACCATTAGGGATACATACGAGAATTAAAAATACATGAATATTAACAAAAACATAAAATATTCACCTTGTAAACATATACTGAACACATTATCAGTAAGTAAAAACCGACTTCAGTGGATGCCAGTGATAAAACGTATTTTCTTTAAAAACATATGCTTTAAAGATATCCTAAAAATCATTTAACAGGGTTCGTAGCCACATTTTAGTTAAAAAAAATAAGCACCTATAAGCATTTTTCAAGCACATTTTAGGAAAAAAAATAAGCACCTGTCTAATTGCATTATACACAACTGCATGATCTTAAAAGAAAAATTAGACTTGTAATTTAAAATATGAGAAATTCAGTATTAATTAAGAGAGAATAAGCATTACTCAACTATGGAAAACAATTACATTATTATTATTTTTTTAATTTTAAATAACAGTTCAATTCATAGAACTAGTTTACAATAAGAGAAAAAAAATATGCAGAACTAAAAATCATATTACAAGATTTAATGACGAAATTTCTGTTCAAAATAGAGAAAATAAATAAAAATAAAGCATATTTATTATATTCGCTTGACACCTAAAATAAATGCAATTTATTTTTCCAATCTCATTAATATTTAAATGACTTAAATCAAAATTCTGAACATTTTCTAAATTTTCATTGTATAACAGTTTTCCTTTAACAGATATTGCAGGCAAAGTAATTTAAGTAAAAATAAGTAAAAAAAAGAGCTTTTCTGAAATCA